CCTGTGAGACTGGTGTTTGTGTTATTTAAAAGTGAGAAGGTGAGCCCCACTGGCTGCTCTGAAAAGCCATCTTTGCATTGTTCCCGGGCCCGGCTCCCCGCTCGCCGCAGCCGCCTCCGCCGCCGCCGCCGCGGACTCCGGCAGCTTTGTCGCCAGAGCCCCCGAACGCCCGCTTTCTCTCGAGTCCGCTGCCTCGGATCCCCGGCGTGCCCCCACCATGTCCGACGCGGCCGTGGACACCAGCTCCGAGATCACCACCAAGGACTTGAAGGAGAAGAAGGAAGTGGTGGAGGAGGCGGAGAATGGGAGAGACGCCCCCGCCAACGGCAACGCCAATGAGGAGAACGGGGAGCAGGAGGCGGACAACGAGGTAGACGAGGAAGAGGAGGAAGGTGGCGAGGAGGAAGAGGAGGAGGAAGAGGGCGATGGTGAGGAAGAGGACGGAGACGAAGACGAGGAGGCCGAGGCGGCTACAGGCAAGCGGGCAGCTGAGGATGACGAGGAGGACGACGTGGACACCAAGAAGCAGAAGACCGACGAAGATGACTAGACCGCAAGGCAGAAGGCACCCGTGAACCCGAGGCCGCCGTGACCTTCCACCCTCACTCCCGTCTCCCCCAGCGTGGTCACCTCCGAGTAGAGGCCGCCCGCGCCACTGCGGACACAGCGCTCACGCCCACAAACCCAGTGAATTCGCAACAGGGGAGGGACAGCACCAAACTCCAGGCCCTGCTTTCTTTCTTAAAAGTACTTTAAAAAGGAAAATTTGTTTGTATTTTTTGTTTACATTTTATATTTTTGTACATATTGTTAGGGGTCAGCCATTTTTAATGATCTCGGATGACCAGACCAGCCTTCGAGCGTCCTCTGTCCTACTTCTGACTTTACTTGTGGTGTGACCATGTTCATTCTAATCTCAAAGGAGAAAAAAAAACCTTGTAAAAAAAAGCAAAAACGACAACAAAAAAACAATCTTATTCCGAGCATTCCAGTAACTTTTTTTGTGTATGTACTTAGCTGTACTATAAGTAGTTGGTTTGTATGAGATGGTTAAAAAGGCCAAAGATAAAAGGTTTCTTTTTTTCCTTTTTTTGTCTATGAAGTTGCTGTTTATTTTTTTTTTGTTTTTTTTGTTTTTTTTGTTTTTTTGGCCTGTTTGATGTATGTGTGAAACAATGTTGTCCAACAATAAACCGGAATTTTATTTTGCTGAGTTGTTCTGAAAAAAAAAAAAAAAGTGAGAAGGTGAGATTGAGTGTTATGTTCTAAGTGAACTGGACAGGAGGGAGGCAGGGCAGTGGGCAGGAGAAGCCGCATGAACATCATCTTTGGGTGTTGGGCTCAGAAAAAGTAGAACAACTTACCCAGGGATAAAGGCAGTCAGGAACATGCTAATAAAATCACCCTGGAGGAACAGTCGACAGGAAAGGGAGAAGTTTAGATTGGGTATGGGGTGGCAGCTTTGAGAGTGGGTAGGACGGGATCATGGACCTGTTTGGGATAATTGTATATACCTATGGCATACAGTGTGACATTTCAGTGAACGTGTGCAATGTGTACTGATCAAGTCAGGGAAATTAGTGTGTTTCTCTCGTTCTCATTACTGTAGTATTGCAGCCTTTTAGCTCCTCTCTTTCATTTGCTCAGAAAATGTGGAATAGGTGACTGTGAACTACAGCCACCTCTCTGTGCTGTGGGACTCTAGGGACGCATTCCTTTTATCTAAATGGTTTGATACTCATTATCCAAGCTCCCTCTCACCACACCCCCCACCACCCTTCCCAGCCTCCGGTAATCACTATTATATGTTCACACCAACAGTTTTTAGCTTCCACATGAGAAAGAATATGCAACGTTTGTCTTTCTGTGTCCAGCTTATTTCATTTAACATGATGCTTCCCAGTTTGCTGCAAATAACACAATCTCATGCTTCTTTATGGCAGGCTCGTTGTTTTAAAAAGAATGTGGTTATAGTCTTTTAAATAAAGACGTAACTGGAACATAAGGACATATAATAATGAAGTAAAGGGAATTTCTACATCATAAAAAGGCTTAATTCACCAGGAAAGCATAAGAAATCTGATGTCATATGCACTGAAAACATAGCTAAAATATTTAAAGCAAATATTATAAGAGCTCTAAGGAGGAATTTTCTAATTCATTATCATAGTGGGAGATTTTAATGCCATTTTCTCAGTAATTGATAAAAACAGCCAAAAACCAGCAAGCAACATAATGTACAAGCTTGATCTAAAACTATAGAATATTAGTCCCTTGTCAGATAAACAGTTCGAAAACATTTTCTCCCCTTCTGTTGGTTGAATCCTCACTCTGTTGATTGTTTACTTTGAAACGAAGAAGCTTATTATTTTAATATAATTTCATCTGCCTATTTTGCTTTTGCTGCCTGGGCTTTTGTATTCTTATCTAAACAATCATTACCTATGTCCACGCCATCGGGCATTTCCCTAGTTTTCTTCAGGTAGTTTCATGGTGTCAGGTCTTCCATTTTGACCTCTGATTCATTCTGAGTTGATTTTCAAATAGGGTGAGAGGTGGGTGGGTGTCTTATTTCAGTCTTCCGCATCTGGAGATCCAGTTTTCCCAGCACCTTCCTCTGGGGTGTGCCTTCAGATAAGTCGCCCATCGACGTGTGGCTTCATTTCTGGAATTTCTATTCCGTTCCATTGTTCCATATGTCTGACTTTAGGCCAGAACTATGCTGTTTTAGTTACTACAGCTTTACTGTATGGCTTGAAATATGGTATTGTAATGCTCTAGTAATACCCAGAAAGTATCAGGAACTCAAAAAGCAACAACAACAAAAAAATCCAGTTATGAAATGGGCAAGGAATTTGAATAGACATTTCTCAAAAGAAGAAAAACATGGAAAAAAATGCTCTATGTCACTATCCATCAGGGAACCACCATAGTGAGCTATAATCTCATTCTGATTATAAAGGCTATTATCAAAAGACTGCAAAAATGCTTCCAAAGATGTGGAGAAAAGGGAACCCTAATACACTGTTGTTGGGAATACAAATTAGTACAGCCATTATGGAGAACATAAAAGACTACATAAAAATATGTCTGCCATGTGACTCAGCTATCCTACGTCTGGGAGGATACCTGGCAGAAGTGAAATCAGTTTAAGAAAGAGTTACCTGCACACTCATGTTCATTGCAATACTCCACAATAGCCAAGATGTGAAATCAGTGGTGAATGATAAAGAAAATGTGGTAGATATACTCAGCGGAACACTATTCAGCCATAAAATAATGAAATCTTCATATTTGTGGCAGAATAGGTGGACATGGAGATCATTAAGTGAAATAAACCAGACACAGAAAGACAAATACTACACATTCTCTCTTTCTCTTTTTTAAAATTTATTTCATTTATTTGAAAGACAGAGTTACAGAGAGAGGTAGAAAAAGAGGTCTTCTATCCACTGGTCACTCCCCAAATGGCCACAATAGCCATTGCTGGGCCAATCTGAAGCCAGGAGCCAGGAGCCAGGAGCCAGGAGCTTCTTCCAGATCTCCCACATGTGTGCGGGGGCCCAAGGACTCAGGCCATCTTCTACTGTTTTCCCAGGTATGTTAGTAGGGAGCTGGATCATAAGTAGAACAGCTGGAACTGGTGCCCATTTGGGATGCCGGCACTGCAGGTGGTGGCTTTAACCCGGTGTGCCACAGTGCCCCCCACCCCTGTATTCTCTTTTATATGTGGAAATTAGAAAATAAAATACTTGATCTGTATCTAAAACGGTGATTATTAGAGGCTGGGAAGGGTGAGCTAGTGGAGGTAGGAAGCTTGGGTAGTGGATAATAAAACACAGTCAGGAGAGGGTAGCAGGTTCTGGTGTTACATAGAGCTGAGGTGACTTTTTCGTGAGAATGTGCTGTATTCTGTTGAAGAACTGGAAGGCAGGAGCTGGCAAACTCCAACACAAAGAAAAGACAAGGAAGTGGAAAGGCTGACAGCCTGGTATGATCCATTTATGCTGTGTGTGTGGGTTGAAATATTGCACTGTGTATCATAAAAATGTACAAATAAGGGCCAGCTTTGTGACACAATAGATTAAACTGCCACTTGGAATACTGGCATCCCATATCAGAGTGTCAGTTCCAGTCCCAGCTACTCCGCTTCCTTTTCAGCTACCTGTTAATGCACCTGGGAAGGCAACAGAAGATGGTTCAAGTTCTTGGGTCCCTGCTACCCAGGTAGGAGACCTGGATGGAGTTCCTGGCTCCTGGCTTCAGCCTGGGCCAGCCTTGGCTGTTGTGGCCATTTGTGAAGTAAACTAGTGGATGGAACATCTCTTTTTCTCCCTGTTGTTCTGCCTTTTAAATAAATGTTTTTTTAAAAAAGTACAAGTATTGCATGTTAATCCAAAATTTTAAAAAATTATAGAACAGGGGCTGGTGCTGTGACGTAGCAGGTAAAGCTGCCACCTGCAGTGCCAGCATCCCATATGGGCATCAGTTCAAGTCCTGGCTGCTCCACTTCCTATCCAGCTCTCTGCTGTGGCCTGGGAAAGCAGAAGATGGCCCAGGTCCTTGGGCCCCTGCACCTGCGTGGGAGACCTGGAAGAAGCTCCTGGCTGCTGGCTTCGGATCAGTGCAGCTCTGGCCGTTGTGGCCATTTGGGGAGTGAACCAGTGAATGAAAGACCTCTCTCTCTCTCTGCCTCTCCCTCTCTCTCTCTCTCTCTGCCTCTCCCTCTCTCTGTGTAACTCTGACTTTCAAATAACTAAATAAATCTTTAAATAAATAAATAAATAAATAATAAAAAAACAAGTAAATTAAAAAATAAAGCTATACTATATTCTCTCAACATGTGGACAGTGTACATTTTAATACGTTTGTGAAGTATGTAAAAATTTATCATGTACATGACCATAAAAAAAGTATCAAAATTTTCAAGAATTCAGTACATATAATGTTCTCTAGGCACAACATAACTAAGTTATAAATCAATGCAAAAAGAAAAAGAAGATTTTTAAAGTTTTATTTGAGAGTCAGAGTTGTAGACAGAGAGGGAGATATAAAGAGAAAGATCTTCCATCCACCCATTCATTCCCACAGAGAGCCGCAGCAGCCAGGACTGAGCCAAGCCGAAGCCAGGAGCCAGGAGCTTCATCCGAGTCTCCCATACGGGTGGTAGAGGCCCAAACACTAGAGCCATCATCCACTGCTTTTCCCAGGTGCATTAACAGGGAACTGGATCAGAAGTGGAGCGGCGCCCACATGGGATGCCTGCATTTCAGGCAGTGGTATTTCCCGCTACACCACAATGCTGGCCTCCCAAAAGAAAAATTTTAAATCTCCAAATAAATTTTAAAATATATAAGAATCCTACCAAAAGTATGACAACTAAATCTGATAAACCTCTTGCATTAGCCTGCTTTTCATTACTTTAGCTAAAATACCTGAGAGGAGCTTCTTGGGAAAGAAAATGTTTATTTCAGCTTAGTTTGGAAGTTGCAGTTCAGGCTGAAGTGGCCCCAAAGTCTGGTGTCTGGTGGAAGCTTGTGTCTGGCGGGTGTGAAGGAGTGACCACATGGCGAGCCAGGAAGCAGAGAGAACAGCTGGGCATAACCTGAACTCCAATCATCAAGCCTCCCATGAGAACCACCCTCCAATGGCACATCCCCAGTAACCTAACGATTTCCCCCAGACACACTCTCAGACATCATTATTATGTCAAGTATCTACCCTTAACCCGTCAGCCTCTAGCGTTAGGACATCAGAATTTAAGCATCTGCCTGAATTGTGGGGAGACAAGTCCTACTCAACCCACATCTCTCTACCTGTCCATCTATCAATCTCTTGAAAATACAAAGGCAGGGGAACAAGTTAAACTACACCACGAGGACACAGTTAGCAAAACCCAAACTGCAGCAAACTCTACAGGACAAGCAACTCAGTTGAAGCATTTAAATTTGGGGAGGATAGAGAGGAAATGGAGGAGAAAATAGAAAGGAAAACTGAAATTCAAAGACCTTCCAGGTAGTAGCAACACATGGGTTCTATTTGGATCTTAACCCAGACAAACCACTGAAACAATAAGGAGACACTAACAGAAAGTTGGATATTCAGAAACTTATTGAATGTTGATGATACTGAGGAATTATTATTAAATTATATGAAGTATGGGATTTGCTTCAAAATAAAAGGGGGTGGCCTGGTGAAAAGCAAATAAGTGAAATAAGGTTGTTTCTAATTTGACGGAATTCATTAAATTGTTCTATTTCAGTATATGTTTGAAATTCTTGGCTATGAAATATTGAAGGGACACTAACAAATACAGCAAGAGAACAGGCACTCCAGGCCGCTCTCCCTCTGGCCATTTGTGTCCCTTCTTTGTTCATCGTTCTCAGCCCACACCATCTCAGCCATTTAACACCGTCTTTCCTGCCGCTCACACTGGACATCTGCCAGCTACAGCTCTCAGTGTCCACGGCCAGCTGGCTTGCTTTCAGGTCCACTAATGGCAGTCCCAAGTTCCTGTGGGAAGTTCAGAAGTGGACAAAGAAAGGAGTTTCCTGCTGTTGGCTCCAGTAGAGTGGCAGCTGCTGGGTGTTGCAGCAATAGCAAAGACAGGGAGATCCTTAGCTTCTGATGCATGGGCCAAAGCAATGTCTTTTCTGCAGTTCCAATCTTGGTCAAGGCACCCCACTTTGAAGGGTCCAGAAGCGACTGAGATAAGTTTCTGCAGTAGCACAATAGCAGGTGCTCTCATGGATTCCAATCCAGGGGCCCTCGCAGCTTCTGATCCTTGGGTATCACTCCCTCTTCCTCCTGACTCCTCTAGTGCCTTTCCTTCTTCATTGCTTCTTCAGCCCTGCCAAAATAGGTACAAATAATTTCCTTTATTAAGTTCCCTTTATTCAAAACACCTAGAGTGATTTCTGTATTTGTAACTGGACCCTGACTGATAAGATATTTGGGATAAGGAGTGGGCATAGAAATAGAATCTCAAAAAGGGATTCTGGGAATGAGTGTCTGACCTTGAATGCAGTGATAACCTCATTACATGTGGAAGCGAGAGACTGTACACCCAGGCCTGGTAGTGCCATTTCAGTTTCCTAAACCATCGTCCACAATTATTTGGGATGTAGTGACTTTTCAAGGCTTCAGGAGACCACCTGGCTACCCCAGTGGACTGTCATGACAGTGATGATGAGTACAAATGCCGAGGCAGGCTAGCTATCCCAAACCACCCTGGACAGGTTACACAAAGATCATAAATTCAAAGATTTAGATTTCCAGCGGAAGGTGTTATCAGAGAACTAGGGAGAACTAGAGAGAATTAGCACTGAAATTATCCCTTCATTCTTACAGTTGACATAACTATATGAATTGGGATACAGTGTGACATTTCAAACTTCAAAAAGTTCATGGAAAAATGAAGTTAAAGAATAAGCTTATTGGGACCAGCATTGTGGTGCAGCAGGTTAAGCCGTCACTTGTAACACTGGCATTCCATATAAAAGTGCTAGTTCTCCACTTCTGATCCAGCTCCCTGCTAATGTGCATGGGAAAGCAGAAGATGACACAGGTACTTGGGCCTCTGCTACCATGTGGGAGACCGGGATGGAGTTCCTAGCTCTCATCTTTGACCTGGCCCAGCCCTGGCTATTGCAGCCATTTGAGAAGTGAACCAGCAGATGGAAGATCTCTCTTTCTTTCTATTTCTCTCTCTCTCTCTCTCTCTCTCTCTCTCTCTCTCTCTCTGTGTGTGTGTGTCACTCAGCCGTTCAAATAAACAAATCTTTATTTTAAGGGTGTTTTGGGTATTTAGTTTTTTAAAGATTTATTCATTTTAAAAGTCAGAGTTATAGAGAGGAATAGAGAGAGAGAGAGAGAGAGAGAGAGAGAGATATTCCATCCACTGGTTCACTCCTCAAATGGCTGCAATGGTCAGGGCTGGGCCAAGCCAAAACCAGGATGCAGGAGCTTCATCCAGTCTCCAATTGAGTGCAGGGGCCCAAGGACTTGGACTGTCCTCTGCTGCTTTCCCAGTCTCATTAGCAGGGAGCTGGATCAGAAATGGAGTAGCCAGGGCTCAACTGGTGCTCATATGGGATGTTGGCATTGTAGATGGCAGCTTAACTCATTATGCCACAACACCAGCCCCAGATGTTAATTTTTGATGCCAGAAAATTAAAATCCAAGCATAATTTTTTCATAATATGCATTTTTTTTGACAGGCAGAGTGGACAGTGAGAGAGAGAGACAGAGAGAAAGGTCTTCCTTTGCCGGTGGTTCACCCTCCAATGGCCGCCGCGGCTGGCGCACTGATCCGATGGCAGGAGCCAGGTACTTCTCCTGGTCTCCCATGGGGTGCAGGGCCCAAGTACTTGGGCCATCCTCCACTGCACTCCCTGGCCACAGCAGAGAGCTGGCCTGGAAGAGGGGCAACCGGGACAGAATCCGGCGCCCCGACCAGGACTAGAACTGGTGTGCCAGCGCCGCAAGGCGGAGGATTAGCCTAGTGAGCCGCGGCGCCAGCCCATAATATGCATTTTAATAAGCTTTTATTGTAGGTCTTTCATATGCATGGATTTCAAAATATTTTGCACCAGAATAAGCTTCTCTCTAAATTCCATTTTCCACAACCTTTTTGCAATATTCTCATACAATGTGCATTGGTCATATCATGGGTAATTGACAAATCTATCATCTCATTTCTTTGTGTTGAGAGCATTCAAAATCCTACCAGCTATTCTGAAATATTCAATTAGTTGTTGTCAACTATAGTCATCCTACTGAGCTATAGAACTTTAGAAATTATTCCCCCAGGGCTGGAGCTGCAGCACAATGGGTTAAGCCGCCACCTGTAACACGAGCGTCCTATATGGCACTGGTTCGAGTCCCAGCTGCTCCACTTCTGATCCAGCCCCCGGATAATGGCCTGGGAAAGAAGTAGAAGATGGTCCAAGTGCTTGGGCCCCTGCACTCATGTGCGAGACTAGGATGAAGCTCCTGGCTCTTGGCTTCGACCTGGCCCAACCCTGGCAGTTGTGGCCATTTGGGGAGTGAACCAGTGGATGGAAGATTCTCCCCCCCAACATAACTCTTTCAAATAAATGAAATAAATATTTTTTAAAAAAGAAGTTATTCCCCCTATCCAACTGAACTTCTGTTCCAACTATTTTTAACTATGAACTATTCAGACTTGGACTAGCTAACCTCCAGACACGGTTTGTGAAAATACTTTCTACTGATGTGTCCTGGTTCTACATCACACCTCCCATCCAGGCCTGTTCATTGCTACTTCTGGGTTCCTGGAGGTACGATAAGATCTGCTGGCTCGGCAAGATCACCTTCTGGACTTCCACTCTGGTGTGAGACAGGAAGTTTCTGAACCCGTCGTCCTCGACGTGTCCGTTTCCGACTGCATTCTGTCTGCTGCCCTGGCTTTCCTTCCCGGTTTGCAGAGGGCTGTGCCTGTTTGTCTCTTGCTGCAACACAGGAGGCAGATGCAGGTCCAGATCTCCTCTCCTGCCAGCCTTCTCCTCCCCGCACCTAGATCATGCCCAGTGTGACCTGACCTAAGATCATGAGACTTGAAAATCACTTCCTTTGGAATGGGTAGAACTGGAACGATAAAGAAGAAAAGACTTAGGCAACAGAAAAGTATCGTGGCATCAACCCATGAGGGCACCAGTAAGCCCCAAAGTATAGCCTACCATAAGGGCTGAAATAGTTGTGTTAGTAGAGAGGGGTGAAATAGAGGTTTTTGTCTTCGCACAACAACAAAGAATTCAGATGTGAGGCAGGGAATAGTGGAAGCAAGGTTTGCTGGGATAGGCTTTTGTCAGGACAGGTGAGCACCTCTCCATATGGTATTGGAAACACAGTGCTCAGCCATTCAGACTGGGCAAGCAAGGTTACACAGTTTAATGGAAAGAATACATCTGATGGCCAGATGGGCATGTGGAAAGAACTGGGTGCATAGTGTGTGTTCAGGCTTGGGCTTATAAGGGAATGGGATCCAGTTCTTGCCATTTTTCCTTCCAACAAGTTTTATCCCATACAAAGGGCTTGCTGGGTGTGAAATAGTTAAAATTCCTCCCATGGTTTTATTGCCCAATGTTATCAGACTGGGTAGCCCCCTTAGCCCAGAGACTTTCCTAGAGTGCCTTCCTTGCAAGAAGGCTGGAATCACCTATAAAATTATTGGGGTACGAGCAGGACTCAGTAGTGAAATACTGGGCTACTTCCAAGGCTGCCAGAGGCTGCTACATTCCTTTCTGCAGGTGCTTTGTTTTCTACAGGCTAATTTCTAACTTCCTGCCTGACAGATGGGACTCACTAAAGGGAAGAACTAGCCTTGATGGTTGATTAGTGGATATGACTCAAGAACACCAGGCAGCTCACAGACAGATGGGCCATGGGAGAAGAAAGAACTTGCCAGAACAGAGCCCCCAGAAACCTCTGGGGTATGCAGAGGAGGAAACCACAGGGCTCAATGCCAGGCAGCTAAAAGCACAGAAGTATGGAGGTTCTTGGAAGGAAGGGAGGAGCTGAATTTCCTACATCACAGCTAAGGATAGAGCCTGGGGAACAGTGCTGTGATTAATTTCTCTCCCTCTATTCTACCCCCTGTCTTGCATTCATGTGGCCTGGGGAAGCAGAGACTGCAAGTTAGAACTGAAATTCAAGTTAGCATGTTAAGATTTACCAAGGGGACCGGCCCTGTGGTGTAGCGGGTAAAGCCACTGCCAGCGGTGCCGGCATCCCATATGGGCGCCAGTTTGAGTCCCAGCTGCTCCATTTCCAATCCAGCTCTCTGCTATGGCCTGGGAAAGCAGTAGAAGATGGTCCAAATCCTTGGGCCCCTGCACCCATGTGGGAGACCTGAAAGTAGCTCCTGGCTCCTGGCTTCAGATTGGCGCAGCTCCGGCAATTGCAACCATCTGGGGAGTGAACCAGCGGATGGAAGACCTCTCTATCTTTGCCTCTGCCTCTCTGTAATTCTGCCTTTCAAATAAGTAGATCTTTTTAAAAAAAGTTACCAAGTATCATTTGAATCTTTAAGACAAAAACCACATAATATAAATTAGAGTTTGTTCTTTATGTAATTGTGGTTAGCATTCAGAGGAAAGAAATATTGCTGAAGAATATGATAGCTCATGGAATCAAACTCTGGACAGGGGACACGGACATTTCAATACACCCCTCCACCTGAGTAGGACAGCATCGTGCAGCTATAGGCCACTGCAGCTTTAGGACACTCAAAACCAACAGCTCTGCTGCCACCCTCCACGAGGTCTGAGCTGTCCCTGAATATTAGCAAGGCTCCCTCAAGATTCAAGTGGAAGATGGGTGAGTCTGGTTGGCTCGTGCAAAATCACAAGCCAACTTCTTCATGGCCCTTGGGTTGGGGGACAGAGAATCTCCCCTTTGGTTTGCTTTGTGAGAAGAGAGCATGCTACACACACACTGGAGGTGGGGACTCCAACATTAGTTAAAAACTTGGTTTGTGGCTCTGTATGCCAATAATATCTGTGAGTGATCATTGTTAATGACTTTGAATGACTTTATGCAAATAAGTGAAGAAATGTTGTACGAGTGTGCATGTGTGTGAATGTGGAGATTGCCAGTTGTGAGCCACAAGAAAGACTTCACAGAAATTGAAACACAGCTCCAGGGACTGTAGCTCAGGGACCTAAGAGCAGACCAGCCTAAGATCCCTATCTTCTGGAACCAACAGAGGAAGAACCAGGAGCACCTGTCAGGCTGAGCCAGGGACCCAGCACAAGCAGCAAGTGCCTCCACCAGGCTGGAGGGGCTGGTGCTGAAACAGCTTCCGGTAAAAGCCTGAACTGAACACAGCAAGCCCTGGCACACACAATTTCTCCAGCGATTCCACAAAAACTACAATCGCAGGTTGAGAGTGGTTCTCTTCTGAGAGATGGGATTCACAGGAAGTCTTCATTTCTGTCTAGAATATTCATTTCCTAAACTTTCTACAGCAGGCGTGTACAGCTTCTATGATCAGAGAAGCAAGAGAGAAGGAAATAAGACAAATTCCAGTGGGAGCTGCCTCTTCCTTTCTTCTTCCTGTCAAACTAAATAAATCATCTTAGGATAACAATTAGGAACTAAATGTGCAAGAGGGAATACGTGTTTGGTGTGTATGTCCAAGAGAAAATTGAACAAATTGTAGATCTGTAAGAAACCAGAACTTGGCCCTCTTGGTTTGGGTTGGTTGTCAATGTAATTGCTCCTAACTGGGTTTCAGCCCTTTGCAAAGCAAAATAAAAACCAAGACCACACCTTTTTATTTACTTTGATAGAGAAGGGATCTCTATCTTCAAGTTCAATTCCCTCTCCAGCCTCCTCCGCCCATCACACTCCTCCTTCTCTGGGAGCCCCCCTGTGTTCTCCAGAGCAGCCCATCCAGCCCCCAGAGAATGTGCACTGGTTCTTTGATTGCTATTGGGACTGTCTCCTTGGAGGGTGTGACCACATCTTGCAGCAGGTGCCATTGTGCAGAAGGTTGTGTACCAAGGAGCCCAAACATGCAGACAGGAGACACCAACCTAGGATATGCAAGTCCCCAGAAGGCTGGGAAAGGCCCTCATGTTCTAGACGCCGGCCCAGGGTGTGGAGGAAATCGAATCCAAAGGATGGGGGCTGACTGACTTGAGGAATTGAAGGGTTATTTTTCAAGAGATCCATTTGAGGTACAGCAAAGGAAAACCCAAAGACAGGGCCAGGGTGCTGGAGAGCTGAGAAGGCTGAACTGAGGGGCAGGTGGGGACTTTCTTCACGTACCATGTGTGCAGCCCGTCTTGGGCCTCCAGGGAGCTGTCCCCACCTTACCTACAGGCCATGTGTTTAGGGCCTGACTTCCTAAGCCACTAAAACTACTGTACCCATTCCACACTTCACAGTGTATTCTCATTTTGCATTGTTATTGGCCCTGCTTCCTTGGTTCCACTCCAGCCACTACTGTAGCAGATCCACCTTGCTAAAGAAGTAGCTCAAGGGCTGGTGCAGTGGTACACTAGGTTAATCCTCTGCCTGTGGCACCAGCATCCCATATGGGCACTGGTTTGAGTCCAGGCTGCTCCACTTCCGATCCAGCTCTCTGCTGTGGCCTGGGATAGCAGTGGAGGATGGCCCAAGTCCTTGGGCCCCTGCACCCACGTGGGAGACCAGGAAGAAACTCCTGGCTCCTGGCTTTGGATCAGCATAGCTCTGGCCATTGCAGCCATTTGGAGAGTGAACCAACGGAAGGAAGACCTATCTCTCTGTCTCTCTCTCTCTCTCACTGTCTGTAAACTCTACCTGTCAAATAAAAAAAAAAAAAGTGACTCAAAGCAATTCACCACCCTTCTTCACTGGAGACAAATCAGTGCTAAGAGGTGGTGAAGCAGGGTGTTAAAGAGAAAGTTAACACCGGGAAGAGATTCTCTCCTGTGTCATAGGTAGAGGAATGGAAAGAGCACTGACTACGAAGAGAAGTGTGCACATAGACAGAGGCATACAAGGAAGGCAGGATGGGGGGAGTGCTCTCCGTGGGTAAGGAGAAAGAGTTTATCATTGGCCTTGTTTAGAACTGTCCGTGCATCGTGATAACAATGAGAACCCTGACGTTTCCTTGCTTTTATTATTGTTTTAAACTTCTCCATTGACAATGAACCTTCTGATTATGTGCACCCACCACCAATCTCTCCAATCTCTCTAGCTCTGGGCATCTTCCTGTGTTATTAATGAATCTGCACTGCTGCAACCTTGAACATCAATAGTCTTCGATTTCACTGTCCTAAGATGACATCCAGGATTCATGTTTGCAGATCAGAACCAAGATGGCAGCTGAGTAAGGGAGGCTCTGGCGACCACCTCCCCACAGAGACACCCATGTGAACAGCTATCCGAGTCACCTTCACCAGAGCTACAGAAGCCGGAAGATGAACCACACTGCCTTGTCTTGGTTACAATCAACAGAAAGGTCACACTGAAGGAAGCAAGAAGGAGAGAGCTGCCTATGTCATCCCTCCCCCAGCTCCAAGGAGGACAACATGGAGAGACGCCTCCAGCTCAGGAGAGGGAGAGCAAGCTGAACCCCAGTACCAGGCCCACTGTGAAAAAACATCCTGTCAGGCTAAACGTCCCTGCTCCCATACTTGTGGAGGACAGATGGGCATCCTCTGTCACCCCTCCCCCAGCTGCAGACCAAAAGTGAAACTCCAGCAGTGCACAGAGGAACAAGACCTTAGGACCATGCATTGGAGCTCAGATCCTGGCCTGCCTCACCTAAGCCTGGCAGATGATATCTTTAGTCCCAGGCTGGTGCTCAGAGACCAAGGCTCTAGACCCGCCAGCATCAGGCTGAAATCTGCACTTACAGGGATTGGACTCATTGTGGCCTGTGTCACTGTTGGTCTCTGGTGGACTTGGTGGACACCCCTAGGACTTGGTAGGGACCTGTGACCATGGTAACCAGATGTGACCAGCCTAGGACCAGTCTAGGTGGTCAGGGGGCTGCCTTTATGTTGCTATTCCAACATTGGGCAAACATCAAAGGGACTATGGGTCTGTGTCTTGGGACTCAGATCTGGGTTGGTAAAGCCCAACACTGGGCAGATCCTAATAGTTTCTGTCCCAAGGCGAAAACCCATGGACACAGTCTCTGGACTTGCCCCTGTATCAAGCAGAAAGCTGTGCCCTGGTGAGACTGACTTACTTTGGCACGTAGCACCACCAGTCTTTTGCAGGCCTTGTGTGCCCCACCCCTGAGATTGCACAGGGCCTGGTAACTGTGAGACTCAGGTGGGACCTACCTAGAGCCTGTCAGAATAGCTGAGGGGCTGCCTCCATCACCTCTCCTACAACCTTGGGCAGGTAGTGAGGAATCACACTGGAAATCAGTGCCAGGTTGACAAAACCCCAGTATTGAGCAGATTCTCAAAGTCCTTGTTCCCAAGCCAGTATCTAAAGACAGAGCCTCTGGACCTGTTTTAGTGTCCGGTGAAGTTACATGGTCCCAGTTGAGCAGCCTTATACTGCAGCTAACATCACCAGTGGCTGATAGGTGTGGCATTGGGCAGTGTGCCCACCTTAGCAGCAGAAAAACCATAGCAAGGGTGAGCTTTGGTCCTACTCCTAGGTTGCAGTGATTTGGTGGGCTGAGAGCCCTGGATAAGATCCATCACAGTGGCATTTGTAATCACTGGACAAGGAATCTGACCCTACCACAGCCTCAGGAAAAGGTTTGTAGGAACAGACAGCCACTTTATAGGCACTTCTTCAATTCATGCTGAATAACACATTAAACTGCAAGTTTGGGACAAACAAGTCTGGGGAGAACTCTAAGACTGAATCAGTAAAACCATATCAGTAGTGTTCAGAGGAGCAAATCACAACTCAGGTGCTATCTAGTGCCAAAATATCAGAACTAACCATAGGCCCAGAGAAAATAAACTGACTTCCGAGAATTTCCAGAGGAACAGCCAGCCACACAGGAGGTTAGATTCCCATAATGAGTGCTTCAGTGTGCAGACAGCATCGTCATCCTACAAGCATCAAGAACTTCCAGGGAACCACGACTTCACCTAAAGAGCAAAATAATGCGCCAGAAACCAACCACGTAGGAATTAAAATTTCCAAATGCTTGGTTCAGAATAGCTGCTTTAAGGGAACTCAGTGAAATTTCAGAGAACACAGAAATGATTCAATTCTAACAGAGATTTGATAGAGAGATGGAAGTAATTAAAATCACACAAAAATCCTTCAAGTGAAAAGTACACTAAGTGAAATTAAAAAAGCAATAGAAGGCATCAATAGCAGAATAAATCAAACAGAAGAAAGGAGCAGTGAGCTCAAAGACAGGCTGTTTGGAAATACACAATGGGAGGAGAAAAGGGGGGTCAGGAGGAATGAAGAAAGCTTACAGGAAATAAGAGCTAGCATGAAAAGAGAAAAAGTCAAGTTACTGGGATCCAAGGTGGACTTATGAACGCCAAAGAAGTAGAAACCAGATTCAAAGACCTAATGACAGAAAACTTCCCAAACCTAAAGAAAGAGATAACTATCCAGGTATAGGAAAGTCACATGTCACTAGTCAGAATCAACCCAACCAAGTCTTATCAAGCTCTCCAGTGCTAAAGATAAGGAGAGCATTCTCAAAGTTGCGAGGGAAAAAAAAACAAAAACACATAAAAGGGTCCCCATTCACCTGACTGCAGACTTCTCATTGGAATTCTTACAGGCCAGGAAGGAGTGGAATGAGACATTTACAGTCCTGGAAAAAAAAAAAAAAAAAACAACAATGTCAGCCAAGAATATTGTATCTAGTGAAGTTATCCTTCAGATGTGAGAGACAGATAAAGACACTCTGGCACAAGCAAAAGCTAAGAGACTTTATTACCACCAGACCTGTGTTACACAAAATGCTAAAGGAATCCCTTCAAACTGAAACAAAGAGACACTAACATGTAAGAAGACAACATCAGAAGGTAGAAAACTCACTGGGAAGAGTAACTATACAAAAAAAAATCCAGTATGCTCTAATATTACAAAGCTAGTATGTAAGCCATTTGTATCTTTACTGAGAAGACTAAAAAAATTATGCTCACTACATTAAAATGTTAACAGACAGGCAATATTTAAGGATGTCAAATGTAACATCAAAAATTCAAACTGTGTAGAGAAATGTCAAGTTCTTTATTAGGATTTCTTATCACTTTTCCTTTTGTCTCATTTCCTTATCTTTATCATCAATGTCCAGTTGTCATCCTTTCAAGATAGCTTGTTATAGCTTAAAGAAGCTTTTTGTAAGCCTCATAGTAACCCCAAAGCAAACACCTACAACGGACTTAATAAAAATAATAAGCAAGAAATAAAAGTACATCACTAGAAGAAATCACTTATCCACAAATGAAGATTGTAAGATAAGGAGAAAGAGGCCAGTGCCTCGGCTCACTAGGCTAATCCTCCGCCTTGAGGCGCCGGCACACCGGGTTCTAGTCCTGGTTGGGGCGCCAGATTCTGTCCTGGTTGCCCCTCTTCCAGGCCAGCTCTCTGCTGTGGCCAGGGAGTGCAGTGGAGGATGGCCCAAGTGCTTGGGCCCTGCACCCCATGGGAGACCAGGAGAAGCACCTGGCTCCTGCCATCAGATCAGCGCGGTGCGCCAGCCGCAGGGCTCTGGCTGCGGCGGCCATTGGAGGGTGAACCAACGGCAAAGGAAGACCTTTCTCTCTGTCTCTCTCTCTCACTGTCCACTCTGCTGTCAAAAAGAGAATAAGAAAAATAAACATAAGGAGAAAGAAAGGAACTACAATAAGCATCCAAAGGGCAACAGTAATACCTTGCCTATCAATAATTGCCTTAGGTGTCAATGGACTAAATTCTCCAATTAAAAAACACAGAGTCAATTAAAAGACATAGAGTGACCGAATAGACTAAAAAATAAGACACTGGTGTGGATGTTGTGGCACAGTGGGTTAACTCACTACTTGGGACATCTGCATCCCACATCAAAGTGCTGGTTCGAGTCCCAGCTGTTTCACTTCAGATCCAGTTCCTGCTAAAATGCTTAGGAAGGAAGCAGAAGATTGCCCAAGTACATGGGCCCCACCATCCATGTCGGAGACCCAGATGGAGTTCTTGGCTCCTGTCTTCAGCCTGGGCCAGCCCTGGCTGTCGTGGCCATTTGGGGAGTGAATCAGCAAATGGAAGACCTCCTTTCTCTCTCCCTCTCTCTCCCTCTCTCCTTTCAAGTAAATAAATATTTAAAATAAATAAATAAAAATCTTTAAAATAGAACTCAATTATATAATGCTATTAAGAAACTCACTTCACCACTGAGGACACAATCACAATGAAAGTGAAAGGATGGAATAAGGTATCCCATGTGAATGAAACCCCAAGGAAAACAAGAATAGCATATTCTATAATAAAAAATAGACTGTATATCAAGAGCAGTAGTAAGAGACCAAGAAAGTCATTATATAATGATAAAGAGCTCAATCCAGCAAGAGGAAATAACACTCATTAAGATAGATAGATAGATAGATAGATAGATAGATAGATAGATAGATCTGATATTGAAGAACCCAAATACATAAAGCAAATATTTATAGATCTAATGGGAGAGATGGACTCTGATACAGTTAAAGGGAACTTTAATATCCCACTTTCAGAAATGGACAGATCCTCTATGGAATATCAACAAAGAAATGGCAGAGTTACATTGCATTTTAGATCAACTGGACCTAACACACGTCTCCAGAACTTCCCACCCAACAGCTGCAGAATACGTACTCTTCTCAACAGCACAGGAACGGAACATCTTCCAGGACAGATCACATAACAGGGCACAAAATAAATCTCAACAAATTTAAAAGGGTAAGTTATATCAAGTATCTTTTCTGACCACAGTGCAATAAAATTAGAAATCAATAACAAGAAAATTTTGGAAACTACACAAATATGTGGAAATTAAACAGTCAATGGATCAAGGAATACATTTTAAAATTTCTTGAAATAAATGAAAACTGAAACACAGCATACCAAAACCCAAGACATACAGCAAAAGCAGTCCTAAGAGGCAAGCCTATAACAATCTATGCCTTCATCACAACGAAAACAGAAAGATCTCAAATAAACAACTTATCAGTGCACCTCAAGGAACTAGAAGAACAATAACAAGTCAAACCCAAAACCGGTAGAAGGAAAGAAATAATTAAGCTCAGCACAAATAAAATGAAATAGAGACTAAAATAATACAGAATATCAATGCAATTAAGAGTTAGTTCTTTGAAAAAGTTAAATAAAATTGATAAACTCTTAGTTAGACTAAAAAGGATAAAAAAGAAGATTTCAATACATGGAATCAGAGACCTTATGACTGACACCACAAAAATAAAGGATTGTTGCAGATTCCTGTGAACAATTATATGGCAACAAATTCAATAACCTAAAAGGAACCGACAAATTCTTGGGCACATACAGCTTACCGCAATTAAATAACAAGGAAATATAATATCTAAACAGATCAATAGCAAGTAGCAAGTTGAATCAGTATTTAAAAAAAAAATCAAAGAAAAGCCCAGAACCAGAGGGCTTCACTGCTGAATCTTACAAAACTTTTAAAGATGAATTAGCACCAATCCTTCCAAATTATTTCCAAAAATAGAAGAGAGAATTCTTCAAAATTCATTCAGTGAGGCCTGTATTACCTTGATACCCAAACTGATAAGAACATAGCAAAAAGAGAAAGCTACAGGCAAACATCCTTGATGAATATGGATACAAAAATCCTACCCTCCCCCTCCCCTCAAAAATACCGGCAAACAGAGTCTAAAAACACTTAAAAAAATCATTCACCGGCTGGCGCTGTGGCTCACTTGGCTAATCCTCCACCTGCGGCGCCGGCACCCCAGGTTCTAGTCCTGGTTGGGGCACCGGATTCTGTCCCGGTTGCTCCTCTTCCAGTCCAGCTCTCTGCTGTGGCCTGGAAGTGCAGTGGAGGATGGCCCAGGTCCTTGGGCCCTGCACCCCATGGGAGACCAGGAGAAGCACCTGGCTCCTGCCTTTGGATCGGCGCAGCTCACCGGCCATAGCGGCCATTTGGAGGGTGAACCAACAGAAAGGAAGACCTTTCTCTATGTCTCTCTCTCTCACTGTCTAACTCTGCCTGTCAAAAAAAAAAAAAAATCATTCACCATGATCAAGTGAGATTCGTCTCAGGGATGCAAGGGTCATTTAACACATTCAAATCAATAAATGTGATACATCAATCACATCAACAGAATAAGGACAAAACTCATGGGATCATCTCCATGGATGCAGTAAAGGCATTTGGTGAAAATTCAACATCATTTCATGCTAAACAACACTAACCAAATTAAGTATAAAAGAAATATACTTCAAAATAACAAAGGCCACAGACAATAAGCCAACAGTTAGCATCATCTTGAATAGGGAAGAGTTGAAGGATGCCTCTCTAAGCTCTGAAACAAGACAAGGGTGCACACTTTCATCACTTTTATTCATGATGGTCCTTGAAGTTCTAGTTAGAGCAATTAGGCAAGAGAAAGAAATAAAGGGCATCCACACATACAAGTGTTGGTAAGGACAGTGAGCAAAAGGAACCCTTTCACACTGTTGATGAGAATGTAAATTAGTACAACCATTGTGGAAAACCTTATCGAGACTCCTTAAGAAACTAGAAATAGATCTACCAGCTCATCCAGTAATCCGATTACTGGGTATATTTCCAAGGAAAGTGAAATCTTTGTATTTGCGTCTACACACCATGTTCTTTTGTTCTTTTTTTTTTCTTTTTTTCTTTTTTTTTTTTTTGACATGCAGAGTTAGACAGTGAGAGAGACAGAGACAGAGAGAAAGGTCTTCCCTCCATTGGTTCACCCCCCAAATGGCCGCTACGGCCACCGCACTGTGCCGATCTGAAGCCAGGAGTCATGTACTTCCTCCTGGTCTCCCATGCAGGTGCAGGGCCCAAGCACTTGGGCCATCCTCCACTGCCTTCCCAGGCCACAGCAGAGAGATGAAGTCTGCACACCATGTTTATTGTAGCCCTATTCACAATAGTCAAGAAATGGAAGCAACCTAAGAGTGGTACATATACCCAATGGAATGTTACTCAGCCATAAAAGGATGAAATCTTGTCACTTGCAACAACATGGATGCAACTGGAGGTAATTATGTTAAGATAAATAAGCCAAACCCAGAAAGACAAATATCACATGATCTCACTCATCAGCCGAGCCTAAAAACCTGATGATCTCATGGAAGTTACACATACAATGGTAGTTACCACAGGCTGGGGAGGGAGGCAGCAAAGGAGGGTTGGGGAAAGGTTGGCTGATGGGTACCAGTTTATGGTTAGATGGGAGTGAGAGGTTCTGGGATCTCACGGCACAGTAGGATGACTATAGATAGTGTTAATGTACTGCATGTTTCTCTATTAAAAAAAAAAAACTAGAAGATAGGATTTGGGATATTTTCACTATAAAGAAATGTTAAATACTTCAAAGGATAAATATAGTTACCCTGATTGACGATTACACAATGTATACATGTAACAAACCATCCTATGTTATATGTCTGTTAGATTTTTTTTGAATGGCATTCACAGTTGGGAGGCAATTTAGGTCAGGGAAGTTTCAGATAATCATTTAGTCCTAGCCTCTCACTACACAGGGAGGAAAACGGGCACAAAGAGATGACGTGATGTGCCCGAGCTGGGGGCAGAGCTGGGTCTCGCCTTCCCAGCTC